GGTATTTTATATTTCTAGTTCTATTGCATGAATATGAATAATATGATACAATCCATTCTAATAATTTGTAATTTAATCAAAAATTATTTAACTTCCATAATAATGATAAATAATCCAAACAATAGATGCAGAATTTCCTTTAAAATGTATAATTAATTGTAGGCACATGTTATTTTATGGCACCAGAAAACAAAACACATCAATGCTCACAATAGGGACTGTGGAGAGTGGGAGGTGTCGGGATAAGTATTTGTTTAACAAGCCATCAATAAGGTTCTAAAATGTTATAGCAATATAGTGGTTACCAGTCAATAATTGATAGGTTAATGTATTTGACATTGATGTCGTATGCATATTTTTTTATCCATTGCCCTCTTTTATTTTTGTTGGAATATAGATAAAATAATAGGTCAGCTCCCGTTTCACCGCCGTTTCATTTCGCCGCGGTACCATTTCGCCGAATTTATTTTTTAAGTAACTCTTTTAAGTACCTAAACTTAAGATTAAAAATTACATACTAATTATTATAATTAATGTAATATATATTTATGTAAAAATAGTAATAATTAGGTATTTAGGTATCTTATATAGTCATAAATAAAAAAATCAATTTTTTCATAATAAAAAAAATAATAAAAGTAATCATAAAATAATATAAAAAAAAAAGTTTTGTTAAACTAGTCATAATAATATAGTTAAATTATTCGTTATGTTTAATTAAATGACTAATATTGTCCAAATAGTCAATCCATTTCATCTGCGGAGGATTGTGAACTGTAAATGCGCAAATACGTACTGGTGATAATCATACGACACTGTGTTGATTTTGCAGTTATCGCTGCGACGACACACTATTCATTATATTTTATTTATACATATAATTATTGGGGATTGATCAATCGATAACTTCAGAATTGATATAGTATTTCACTAAGATCATTTCAAACGATAAATATTTCTCCGTGTCTATATTTATCACTTTTCAAATCACAAATTCATAACCATGTTTTAAGACAAAAATAATTTTATGCGGCGAAATGAGTTGGCGGCAAAATTATGGGATTAATTTGGCGGCGAAATGAAACGGCGGTGAAATAGGATACGACTAGTACACTACTGAATTTATGTCTGTTTCGAAATGACAAGCGAGATCTCGAAGTAATATATTATACTACTTAACAAAGTTTGCACCGTTTGCAGTCCTAAAGAATTACTGTTTGTACCAACAGATGACGCTCTAGCTTTATAATATAAATATATCATACATTATTGTACGTTAGATGTATAAACATACATATTATAAATATTTTACTAGTTACTAGTTAGTAGGTAGTTACTACAACTATCTACCGAGACCGTTAAAATACATTAAATTTTAATTTAGAAAAACTATGATAAATTATTTGAAAAATGAAATTCATCAGGATTATATCCATTTATAAAATATTTTGCGATTTAATATTTTAAATTTTGGATTTAGGCATAAACATTCCACAATACATCAGATCCACCGTCTTGTAGATTAGATCTCCTTTTCTCTTGAAGAAAAGCTCACATGCACATGAGTGTTACTGGACGTTGAGCAGGCATTTGATCGTGTTTGGCACAAAGGGCTCCTCCACAAAATTAAAACATTTTTCCTCCATACTTGTATTAACTTATTAAATCATATCTTAGCGATCGCCACTTCTCTATCACAGGAAACAGTTCTTTCAAATATTTCTAAAATAGAAGCTGGTGGACGCTCCAAATGGTTAACGCTCAATGATCGTAGCCGCCAACTAAGACACCTACTGACTTCCAAACATATTCATCTGAATAACAAGCTCCTTATTATTTACAAAGTGTTACTTAAACCAATATGAATCTATGGTATACAGGTATGGGGATCAGCAAAACCTACTAAATCAATAGAATACAAACCTATCAATCCAAAACTCTAAGACAAATCACTAAAGCACCATACTACGTTTCCAATCACATACTTCATCACTACCTCTCCATACCCCTTATTGTTGCAGACGTGGCTAAAACACACTACAAAAGATTCCATAACCGTCTTTTAAATCATAGAAACCCACTCATGCACGACATCTCTTTCTTGACTATCCCTGGAAAATCCTCCCAAACGGCTAAAGCGCAAATGGTGTAGAAACCTACTGAATAATTAAATTTTAATGCTCGTGTTTTTTTTGTTAATGTAGTACCTCCACTGAGAGACTTCTACGCTCTGTTATATTTATCTTGTTATTTTATTTTTATTTGTTTTTTTCTACTACCTACTTTCTAATACTTCCTCAATTGCTCTTATTGTTCTTTTTGTAACAGATTGAATAAAACATTTAATAAACAAAAAAAAATAAAACATTTTAAATAAACTTACTGCAGGTATAACAACTTTTAAGATACCCGCTGCATTGTCTCCGTCTTACCTACTACTTTATAAAATTGTTTTTATATTTTAATTTTAAAGCTGGTTATGATTTTATGAACATTTTAAAATGAAAAAAAAACACTATTTTCAAATGCTCATAATTTGTTTTACAATTCAAATATTTAAAAACCCCATATCGTTATAGTATTATTTCAAATAATACCCGCTTATAAATCGGTCAATATCTCATTTGGTGAAAAAGGGCACACTTTTAGCGGATACGCCTATAATAATATAAGCCTTATCGTCAATATATTATAAACCTATACTTTGTTTGTGGTCCACGAACAATATAAATTATTTAAAATAAATATTTTTAATTTTATGCTCTTCAGATCTTTGTATAGTTTATGGTAGGTATTTGAAAACGCACTCGATTTAATACGTGTAATAATATATGAGTAATAAAGTGAATATTATTATTAGCTATTAATGTTTATTTTAAATAGCTATAGTTATCGTAATTAAAATTAGATTTTTTAAATATTTATAGGATTACGCATGGAAATCATTATTGTTATAAATTTATGTTGTTACTATATTTTGGAATGTAACTGATTCAATAGCATTGAATAAATAACCATAAAGATAATAATGAAAATTAATAAATAAATGTACAACATTTTAAATCATCATTTTCATTTCACGGTGTATTTTATTATAATAATATGTTGTTCATGGATCATTGATTGTACCTACATTGTAAATTGATTATCAAACATTGTTAATTTAGAACATAAATTATTTTTTTATTTCTAAGTCCTAGTTATATAAATGTATGCCCATACAGTGAAACTTCCGTACAACGAACTACAATTTAATGAAATATTATAGAAAACTCTAATCAATTTTGAACCAAATATTAGTGATACTCAGGGCCTGATTAAGGAGTTGGTCGCCAGTAGGCTAGGGTTAAAATTATTTTGTGGCGCCCCAAATTTAACGTTGGCCGATTTTGCGCCCTAGGCTGTAGCCTATTTAGCCTATTGGTTAATTAGGCCCTGGTGATACTGTTCATCGAATTTTTCTATAGTAGCATTTTTAGTAGATCGATGCCCGTGAACCACGATACTATGAAAGATTCGATCTAGATAATAGATTTAAATTATTAAATCCTTCGAAATTTTTAATTAACGAGCAAAAATACAAATAATAAGTATAACAAAGAGTTGTTTAATAAATTACGAAAAAAAATCAATCACCTACAGTCATCTCAATCAGCATAATAAATCAAAATATTAAAATACTGTGATAAACTTGCAAGAACACTAACGCTAAACCTACATAATTAATTCACTTTTWAATAATTAATAACTATGTCTAAATATCGTTCGTCTGGATTTAAGAAAAAATATGAAATGAACAATTTATACTGAAACTATTGATTGACGCGGAAACCAAATATTATATTTTTATGAATAAAGTAACAATCGACGATCTCTGTTTAGTATTGATTTTAATTTTAGGATAACCAATATCAGCATCAAATAAGATAAACATTTTACACTATTTTCATTATTTTAACACAATAAACAAATGTGTAAATCATGTTTATTCAAAATTAATAATAATAATAAAATTACTGTAATATTATGTATAATAGATAAGTTTATGTTGTTAGTTAGTATTATAATATCATAATATTTTTATTACATTTCACAAATCGTATCAAATAATGTCTCGTTAATTCAATTTTTACTAAAACAATTAAATTTTTCATGAAGGAACTAGAAGGTTTAGTGTAATATTGGTAATTGGTATAGTGTGTATAGTGGTTTCTATATTATTAGAAATATAGGTTTCAATTGTGTATATTTAATAGTATAATCGTTGTTTTTTTCCTGGAAAGAGCCGTTCAAATTAGACCCTTGTTTTCGCTTAGTATGTAAGTTAGTGAAGCTTATGAGAACGTATAACATAACAACTACTGCTGTAAGCTTAGAATATACTTTTATGTCGTTTTGTTTCAGCGCGACATTCTTAAAATATTAAATTAATTGTTATAACAATTAATAGTACCTACTCTAGTATTATATTATAATATTTTACTCTGTTATTATTGTTGTTACTATTATTATTAATTGTTTTTATATTGTCGGCAACCATGGGCATTGGATCAAGGTCATTTATCTAACCCACTTGTAATGACGTCATCCCTGTAGTACGAGGTTGGAAGTCGCGAACTCACTCACTTACATACTACACACACACATATACTACCCTTATCCTCGTGATCGGAAGCAATAAAAAAAACCGTTGTCCGTATAACACAACAGTACAACGTGCGTAGAAAATATATGGAACATTGGCGTTACCTACTATATACACATAATAATAGTTATATATTATAAGTACGCATTATTATTATAGCGGAGCACCCTCGATCACCACCACCCCATTTTCATTCAATATACGATCGTTTACTTGTGTGTGTGTGTGTTTTTAGTGTAAGCGCGTGAGTGCGCCTGTGCATAATATGAATAATACCGTACTATTCTATCCCCACCCGTGTTTTCGGTGCGTGAGTGCGTGAGCTCTCGGGACGGTCGCGCCAGATTATCGATTTGCGAGTTCAGTGACAACGCGGRCGCATACGCATCGAGACCCTTACGTTGGTGGCCGCACTTCTATAGTTCAAAAACTACGATAGTGTAACGACATCAATAATAATAATATTAATATCGTTGTTTGTAGCATTCGGATTATTATACCGCCATCGGAGTGGAGTTTTCTCAAGTACGACTACCGCTGTTTTAATCTAGAAAACGGACGTTTCGCGAAATCACAGAGCAACAAACCCATCGATACCCATTATAATACAAGTTCGTACCTATACTTTATCTTATGTCGCGATAAACCCGCAGTATTGTGTAAATTCTATAATATAGATGTAGGTGCAATAATATTGTACTGTGTATCATTTCACGATCAACTTGCGACGATTTTTATTAGTTGTATACAAACGATTTCCGTGTCTTGTATATTATATTATTTTCATGTCCACAGTTATTCAAGACACAATCGACGTTTGACATATTTTTTTCTACTTAAGGTTGATGTGTCTTTAACAATAAACACGTCATGTGGAGTTTTCAACAAAGTTATTTTCGATTTGAAAAAAAAAATTTAAATATATTCAAATTACCTACCTAAAATTTGAAAATTCCTCTATAAATATTTTGAAAATTAAATAACATAAGCACATTAAAGTTGATTCTGAACTGCTGAACTATGAGTGTTTTTTTTTTTTAGAATGTTCGCTAATAAAAGGCAAGACAACATTCAATTACTACATGCAATAAATATTTAGTCAAACGTTTGATTAGCTTTCTAAACGAAGTTTTGACCTGTCTTCTATGATGTAAGATAATCCTAAACACTGGAATTATGTCAGGTTAGTTTTACTATTTACAGTACCTATTATTCTATATTAGTTAAGTTCCTATACAGTGCATTACGATTAATATAATTTATCTTATTTGTAACAACTTGAACCTTGATTACATCAACTTAATCATCGTACAGCTGTTAAAAATCTATAACACTTCGTTATATATATGTAATATGTCATAAGACATAATTTGTAATATGTATATAACATGTATATCCATTCCATATATGTGTATATTATATCGTATTATAAAAATAATATTTTTAATTATTGATATTAATTTTTATTATAATAGAGTACATAGGGTTTGGTAGTTTACCAGACATAGTACATCGAAAAACCGTCAAAAAGGGATTTGAATTCACTCTGATGGTAGTCGGTGAATCTGGTTTGGGAAAATCAACACTTATAAACACATTATTCCTGAGTGATTTATATAAGGAACGAAATGAATCTAGTTATGGTATGCCAATAATCAATATTGAAAATATCTTGCACCTAGATAATCTAACTCATATTTTAACAATTCCAGAACCTCCTCAGACCGCACAAATTGAAAAGAAAACGTTATGCATTGAGGAACAAGGAGTCAAGTTGAGACTAACCGTTGTAGACACGCCTGGTAAATGTTTTGTTTCGAATTTTGAGAGAGAGAAATAACAGCTGTATTTTTATTTCAGGTTTTGGTTCATCTTTGAGCAGTGATGATTGCATTCGGTCATGCTGCGATTACGTGGACGAACAGTTTCGAGCATATTTTGCCGAAGAAAGTAGTATTATCAGAAAGAACATAGTTGATAATCGTGTACACTGTTGTCTTTATTTCATACCCGGCCATTGTCACAGGTATGTAAATTGTGAAGGTTTTTTTTAATATTTAATATATGATATATGATATTATACCGTTCTTAAACGAAATATATCTTTAAGCTTGAGGCCAATAGATGTAGAATTCATGCTCAATATCCATGAAAAAGTCAATGTTATACCAATCATAAGCAAAGCAGATATGTTGACTGAAAAAGAAAAAATACAAATCAAGCAACGAATAAATGATTCTATTAAGTCCCATGAAATAAAGGTAATTAATTATTAATTTAATTAAAAACGATTTTATGTCGAGAATATTAATTAGTATAGTTGATATAGGTATATGAATTACGTAGGGAGGTATACTAATACATTTAAATGTTTTATTTCATAAATTTTAACATTTTTATTTTAATATACGTGTGACTAATATTTGTCAACTTCAGTATAAAAAAATAAAATAAAAATATTTACTAAATTCACTTTCAACAAAGTTTAAAAATAATAACGTATTTCAGTAAAAATGTATGTTCTGAATGTATATATCACGATTTAAATCCAATAATGTACCATATTTAGATCTAGTATAATATGAATTAATATTGTTAATACTGTTCAGCAAAGATTATATATTATTATAATTAATATTAAATAATTGTTCACCGTTCACCTATGACAAACGTTGGGCATCAATTATTGAAGTCGATAGTTGCTGATTACTACTAAAACGAACAAATAAATTATTATTATTCAATATCAATTTTAAATATGTGTCACTGTATTTTGTATTATGTTCTTGAAAATAGCCAAGTTGATATCGAGTATCGATCGCATATGTGTTTCAGATATACCAACTACCAGATTGCGATAGTGACGAAGATGAAGACTTCAAACAGCAGGACAAAGAGTTGAAAGCATGCTTACCGTTTGCTGTAGTTGGAAGTAACACGATTTTGGAAGTTAACGGGAAAAAAATGCGAGGAAGGCAATATGACTGGGGTGTGGTAGAAGGTAGAAACATTTTGAATACTTAATAAACTCTTTATTTACTTACCTAGGAATATGTATATTGTTTTTTTAGAATAGTAAACACAGATAAAGTAAATGCATTTATTTAATGGCACATATGTGTGTACGTATAAATGTTCATTAAACATAACGTGTGTCATTATATTGTTATATTTTCAGTGGATAACCCAGCCCATAGTGATTTTACCAAACTTCGGAATATGCTAATATCCACACATATGCCCGATTTAAAAGAAGTCACCGAGGATGTTCATTACGAAAATTTCCGCACACAATTGATTTCAAAAATATCGCAGCAAGCATTTAAAGATAGAGGGTAAATATTATTAAAAACACAACATATGTATATATATATATGTTATAGGTATACCTATAGGCTATAATATTAATGGTAATAATAGGTATTAATGAATAACGTATTGTCGGTTTTTATGTAGAAAATTAAAAAGAGATTCAATACCAAAACTGCTACCAGCACTTGATGAAACGGATATTTTGTTGCTTCAAAAAGAAGAAGAAGTAAGTTGAATTCATATTAAAATTTTTAACCGAAATATTATGAACAAATTTTAATTTATATAAAATAGGTACGTTTAGTACTAGGTATCTACTATATTTAGTACAAAATGTCTAAACATCAACAACAACCAAATTATACTAATRTTGTACATATAGGTACCTAGTTATTAAAAGTCATTCCTAACGGGAATAATAATCATAAATCATAATTATTGGTGTAATACAGTGGCGTAATTAGGAATTTGTCTTAGGGGAGGGATAAACATTTTTTTCCACACAAAATACTTAGATTTTCAAGTACCTACAATATCTGAGAAAACTATTTCATAAAAAATTCTTAAACTAATATATATGTACACAAAATGTATTAATAAATGTGCTTTAAAATTCTACACAATTTAGTACCTATACAATATTATAATAATTTCTGCAAAATGTAAATTTTGAATATATTAGTATTAAAATTTACTTCTAAATTAAATAATAATTTACAGATTTCCTGATATTAATTATATTTAATATATTTCGTCGTGATGTCAGCACGATAAAACATATAATTCCATAAGCTGAAAATTAATATATAAATATACACATTATATAGGCTCTGGGGGGATATATCCCCCTCATCCCCCCTTAATTACGCCCCTGGTGTAATACCTACCTATAATATAAATATGTGTATTACACATAATGTTATTATGTTATAATGTACCTAATATGCCAGTATGACACTGCAGATTGGATCATGGCAGGCCTGATTTATTATCTATATAATATTATATACAGAGGGCATGTGTTTTTCAGTTTTTTGTGATTTATATATTAGGTAGATATGTAGGGATAGGTATTTATCCTATATGATCCATCGTCCCCATTCAGTGAAAAAAATGTTGAATAATATTATGTATTTCACCAATGACATTATTGACACGTAATTTTATTTATTTTATAATAATCTGCGCTAGTTTAAACGCATATTAATTTATTACAGCCAATGGCCATAGTCGCCAAGGATTTATTTAATAGTTAAAAAAAAGTGCTTTGTAATTATTTAAAATATTGTCAATACAATTATACTGATGACACATTAATATGACTTGGCTCGTTATTAAACATATTTTGTTATTCGAAATTTAGATCCGCCGCATGCAAGACATCCTCGTCCAGATGCAAGATAAACTCAAGACCAATAACGAAAAAAGCAATCATAACCTATACTTAGCAGCTCAAAAATCACTGGAAAATGAAAACAAAAAAATTGAAAACGTGATTAACGTTTAACCTAAAATAATATGAGATATTATTTAAAATTGTACTGCAATGTCTTATTATTACAAAGGCACGTTGTCTTAATTCGGTGTTGAACTTGGAAAAGTATTTCTACTAAAATTTAAAAATTTTTTATAATATCATATAATTTTATTTGGTTTATTGACTTAATTATTCGTTGTTATTTTATACATAGCCGTGTAAAGGAATTTACTTTATTATTATAGTAATATAACATTTCATTATTTTCGTTTAAAACTTACCACTGTATATTATAGTAGGCGTGGTAAGAAATTAACATAGGGACTAAAACAGTAGGTACTTCTTGGTTTAACTCTTAAGATTGTTTAGAAATATAAATATATTATCATCACAAAATAAACTCGTGATCGATTACAATTGGATTATTGTTGATTTCAATGTTTACACGATGTAAACATCTGTCGAATAAACAAAAGAAAATATAGTAAATCACGAACCCGAATCAAATCCTTAGAGTTCTACAATGTGTAGTATTTTATAAACATGTAATTTTTTTAAATTATAACAAAATTGAATATACATATTTTATCATATTAACAAATCGAATCAAACAATATTGATTTTAATTTAACTCTATGAAGTATAAATAAATGTGTTAGATATTGTTCATGAAAAAAAAAAGTATTTTTTATACGAAAACCCATGACGTCGACTCACATAATATTATTAATAATAATAAATAATAATTTATTATTATATATTTCGATCTATAGTTGTACACTTGTACATCACTTGTATGTATATTGTATAATAATATTCATTATAATGTGTACTATATTATATATACCTATTTCCTACAATTTGACGTAATTTCGTAGTTCAGGCGGAACATGACTCAACTAATATGTTATAGGCTTATAGCTGTAAACATAATATTAATATCATATTGTGTCGTGAAAAAAAAAATGCATATATTTTCTCCAGACAAACTATATAGGTACACGTACATGTTTATATATTTGGGATACATTACTGTCTACCAATACATGTATACATTATATTGTTTATATTATTAGTATATGTCAATATATTATACATATAGGTAGAGTGATGGTAGAGATGATATGCCATGAACATATTTCAATAGACAAAATGCATGATAGACGAGATGAAACATACAAACACAGATATATTTGTAAATTTATATTATTATGTATTGTATATAGATGTATCTTATGTGGTATATAGGTATATTATAATATCTATAAATGTGGCGTCCTTTAAGCTGTCACAACACCGCATGGTCTACATGTTATTAGGTATTATAAAATATTGATGTGTCACGTAATATGAACAACTAATTTCAATAATTAATACTAGTGATGATACATTTTAATAATTGACAATAATTCATTATCGTGGAATGGAAAATAAACAGTGCATACTTACACATAATAATCATGCGTATGTAATCGCGTGTGTCAAATTATATTGTGTATGACATATTAATATAATATTAATGGCTGATATAGTTTAATATCGGGTATACAGTTGCATACACCGTTGCATATTATGACAATTGAGTGGTAAATGTTTGAAAATGAAAAATCTATTTTATTCTCTGTAGATATATTATATCGTACGCCATGGTCGATGATGACTATTTAAAATTGATTGTAGTAATTATATGAATGCATGCCAAATCCAAATGACATTCAACAGCGAAAATTTGGAATTATGTGGGGAAAATGGGTCAAGCCAAGCTAATATATAATATTATATTATTATAGGTACATCTCAACCTGCAATCGTATAAAATCGCATTAAACGCAGATGTACGCTGAGAAGTGCAGTGATCGATTTTTTTTCTTGTTTATAGTTTAAAGGGTATTCTGCGTTTCTACTCATTCCCTAATCCCTGTAMCTAGTGTACCTATTATATTATATTTGCAGCTGCGTTGTAAAAGTTATTTTTTGCGCTATATTATTATACACGTTATATGTAACAAATGTAAATTATAAAGTTTTACTCGTACATCTGCATTTAGAAAAAATTTAATATTAAAGTCATTGGGGAAAAAAATATAAAAATGAACGTATCTCAAATAGTAATTGATATTATGTCACGGTAATACGATCAGTCCTGTAAGCATGGGTCAATTAAATAGATCGTTCAGAAACCCTAAATTTATAATGATGTTCATGTGAGTGAAACGTTAAAATGCCAACAGATAAAACTCAAACATCAAAATAAATGCATACAATTAATCATTAATTTTTAATCATATTATTAATTGATAATTGTTCCATTTTATGTTACAATGCCTATATAATCATAATGTATAATTATCAAGGCTGGGCATTAACGAGTTAAAAAGTTAAAGTTAAGTTAAAAAGTTAATTTTATCTTAACTTTKTAACTTAACTAGTTACTTTTGGRTATTCATTAACTTAACTATTAACTTATTAAATTTATTTTTTAATTAACGTGAAATTAACGAGTTGATTTTCATTTTATGGAATAAGTTAAGTTAATTTTAAAAAAT